GGCAACTGCCTGGAGCTGCACCGCCTTGCGCAGGTGCACGGGCTGCCCGACCTGCAGGAGGCCTGCCTGCGCTTTATGGGCGCCCACTTCCACCAGGTGCTGCGCCAGCCCCACTTCCCGCTCCTAGTATCGGGGGACCCCGGCCTGCAGCAGAAGCTGAGGGAGGCCCGCATGACGGGCACACCGGTCCTAGTGGCTCTGGGGGATTTCCTGGGGGGGCCGCTGGCGCCGCATCCCTACCAGGGGGAGCCCCCGTCCATGCTCAGGTACAACGAGACGACGGAGCGCTGGTTCCCCCTAGCCAGCAACCTTCCCCCGGACCTGGTGAACGTCAGGGGCTACGGGGCCGCAGTCCTGGACAATTACCTCTTCATCGTGGGCGGGTACAGAATCAGCAGCCAGGAGATCGCCGCTGCGCATTCCTACAATCCCAGCACCAACGAGTGGCTCCAGGTGGCCTCCATGAACCAGAAGAGGTAAGGGATCGAGCATCATCGGCATCTCATTCATTCATTGGTTCCTGCACTCGTTCCCAGGGTTCCCTGGGCGGCCTAGGAAGGGTGTGCTGGGTGGGGTGACATCTGTGGGAGAGCTCCTGGCCGCCAGCCGGCAAAGCTAGTGAATGAGAACTGTGAGTGTGCAACAAGAAAGAGGCGGCCTCAGCTTGGTTCCTCAGCTGAGTGGTTCCTTTCAGGCATTACGCCTTCATGTAAAAGTGCCTCCCTTACCTGTACCCTAGTGCAAAGAAGTTGTGGATTCCTAGAAAACTGCTCCTTATTCTTTTTTTTTTTACTTCTTTGCCCCCCCCCACCCTGTGTTTTAGGATCTGATCATGATCATCACACACTGGACCCTGACTTTTGGAGACTTTGTTTTCAGTAACTTTGAAGCCTTCACACGATAATGCGTGACCAGCAGATAATTATTCGAAAGTTATTGATGTTCTATATAGGGTTGGTGGCTGCTTTTTCTTTCTTTTCTCTTTATGATACTGAGGATTGAACTCAGGCCTTTCTACTGAGCTACATCCCATCATTTATTTATTTTTTATCTGAGACAGGGTCTACCTAAGTTCTCAGGCTGGCCTTAACCTTGGGATCTTCCTGCCTCAGACTCCCATGTAGCTGGGATTAGACACGTGCCACCATACCTGACTCTTTCTCCCCACCACTTGCTTTTCCTTTTCCAAAGATTTGTTATTATTGGTCTAAACCTTGAGCCTGGTTAACTACAGCCATCCCTTGGTATCACATATCTGAAGTGAATTGGTTCCAGGATCCTCTCAAATATCAAAATCCTTAGATACTAAGTTCCTTTTAGAAAATGAGGTGTTTGCATATAATGTGCCCATTTCTTTAATCTATGAATAATTTATGACACATAATACAGTGTAAATGCCATATAAATAGCTGTTACACTTTACTGTGTAGGGAATAAAGACCAGAAAATGTCTGTACAAGTTCAGTACAAAATAATGTTTTCCTTTGCTGTCTTCCATCCCTGGCTAATTGAGTTCCCAGAGCCTTCACATATGGAGGGCTGAGTGTATTTCCACCCACCTCAACCATCTCCTTTCTCATCCTGCAACTTCCCATCTCCCCAACATGAGTGACTTGAATAAAGGAAAAAGAGAAACTTGAGGGTGGGGAAGGAAGGTAAGTTGGGCAAGGAGCCAGGAAACCAGTATGAAAAAAGCAGGGGCTGGACATAGTGGTGCATTCCTGGAATCCCAGCACTCAGAGAAGCTGAGGCAGGAGAATTGCTTCAAGTTTGAGGCTTGGGCCACATAGTGAGTTCAAAGCTAGCCTGAGTTACATAGGGAGATCTGTCTCAAAACACCAAAAAAAAAAAAAAAAAAAAAAAAAAAAACAAACCCCAGCAAAGAAGGAAGGAAGGGTGGTAGGACATGAAAAATTAAGAAGTGGAAAAGAACCAGTATGAAAGGTGTCTTCCAGTCCACTAGTGTCTTCTCATGCCCCACTGTGGTTCCTGCCCTGAAATATGAAACAAGAGTTGGGGACTCACAGCGGGCAAGCGAAGTCTTAACGGTGTTAGAGGACCTATTATACTCATTTAGATCTCCCTTCATTAGGCTTGTTTGGGGAGCACTGGGTTTATTTCTAGTGAAACATAAAATTCATTTTATGTTGTGAATTTCTTTGTCATGGGAAAACTTTTATTTCCTCTTCAGTTTTGAAAGATAGTTTTGCGGGATCAATCAGTCTTGTTTGCAAGTTGTTTTCTTCTAAGGCTTGAAACACTTCATACCAAACTCTCCTAGCCTTTAAGGTTTTTGTTGAGAAATCTGTTGTGATTCTTGTGGTTTTACCATTGAAAGTGATTTGTTGCTTTTCTCTTAACAGCTTTTAAGATTCTGACCTTGTGTTGAACTTCTGGGATTTTGACTATGATGTGTTGTGGAGAAATTCTTTTCTGATTGTGACTGTTTGGTGGTCTGTATGTCTCCATACGTATGTTAAATTCTTCCTCCATATTTGAAAAGTTTTCTGCTATTCTGTAAATCCTGTTGCTATGCTATTTGTTCCATCTTCTGATTTTTCACCAAATTCCATTTAATCTTAACCTTTGTGTCATCTACCAGCTGTTGTATCCATTTCTCATTTTCTCCCTTTTAAGCTGCCTCCAGGGCAAGGGAATTAGCTCAGTGGTGCCACCACCTGTCTCCAAAGAGCAAGGTCCTGAGTTGGATTCCTGGTACCAAAAAAAAAGCTGCCTCTGAATAATTGGTCTTTGAAAACATCCCTATGTTCTTTTTTTAAATTTTTCTTTTTTTAACATCCCTGCGTTCTAATTCTGATATTTAGTCCTCACATTGGTGGCTTCTGCTGACTATACTTTCATTAGAATTTGTAATCTCCTGGATTTCTGTTTGGGACTTTTTCTGTTTGGACTTAACTCTTTTCTAACTGGTCATTCATGTTTTCTATCATTCTGTTTATCTCAGCTAGCTTTCTGCTAGTGTCTCCTGTAAATGTGCTTCTAGTTTTGTCCATTGTCTAATTATATCTAAGCTTGAGGAGCACCTTATTCATTTTTTTTCTCTACTCTCTTATGATTTCATATAATTCCATGGTGTGGTTTATTTATTTCTTCAGTTTATTTCCATCAATTTCCCATGGATCAATTCTGGGAGTTTGGAGTTTTGGGAGTTTTGTTGCCTTGCCTTCTCATATTACTTTTATCATTATTATTTTGTGTGTGTGTGTGTGCGCGCGCGCTGAGATTTCCAGGTTGATTATAGTGGAGGACTTTGTTGCTAATATGGAGACGTCTTTAGTTAGTGTCTGCTTTTCAGTGCTGCACTCTGAGCATGGCTCACTGTAGGCCTTTGCCTCTGTACCAAGATCCAAACCCCTCCCTTAGTTTGTGAGAGAAGGATGCAGTGTAATTGGCTCAGCACTCAGTTTTGCATGGATGGACCAGAGTATTGTGTTTTTTTAAATTTTTCCATTAAGTTTATTGGTACTTTTTAAGGATACAGTAGTTAAATTCATCATTGGGATCGTGTACATTTACATGATGTATCCTGATTCTTCTTTCCCTCCCCATACCCCTACCCTCCCTTCTCTCCCTCTGCCCTTCCCTATGTACAAAAACTTTGTTTCCATTTTTCCTTTTCTCATATTATTTCTTTTCCCTTCTTTCCTTTCCCCTGCCCTTCCCACTTCTCCTAATCCTTTAACCCTTTTCTTTCCATTTAACATTATCAGTTATATAATTTGAACCTTATTTATTCTTTTAGTTTTTCACACCAGAGAAACTAGTTGGTATTTACACATGTCTGTCCTATTTATTTCATTTAAGAGTATGGCCTCAATATACATCCATTTAGCAATAAATGAAACTAGTTTCTCATCCTTTATGGCTGAGTAGTATTCCATTTTATAGAAAAACCACATCTTTATCCAGTCTCCAGCTGATGGCCAATTGTGCTGTTTCCAAATTTTATCTATTACAGCTGTGCTGCTGTAAACATGGGTGTGCATATATCACAGTGGTATGATTCTCTCTTTTTTTTTTTTGGTACTGGGGATTGAACTTGGGCCTTTGTGCTTGCAAGGCAAGCGGTGGAACTACTGAACCAAATCCCTGGCCCCTATGATTCTTTTAATTCTTTTGGAAAGATACCCAGTAGGGTAATAGGTGGGTCAAATGGAACCTCTAATCCTAGTTCTTTGAGGTATCTCCATATTGATTTACACAGTGGTTGCACCATTCTGCACTCCCACCAACAATGGAGAAGGGTTCCTATCTCCCCACAACCCTGCCAGCCTTTGCTGTTGGTTGATTTGTTAGCAGCCATTCTTTCTGGGGTGAGGTGGAATCTCAGCGTTGTTTTCATCTGCATCTTTCAAATGACCAGTGGTGTTGAACACTTTTCATGTATTTATTTCCTGCTTCTACTTGTTTGTCTGAGAAGTGTCAGTCCATTTCAGATGGTCTTTTTTTTATTCAGGACCACAGTATTGTTAATGAAACAAAGTTAACCCAGATATCGGCATAAGGAAAAATCACTTAATAGCAACAACTGTGCCCCCTTGGCAGTAGCAACAAAATCAGCAGTAATAGTAATGTCGAACACAAACTTTATATTGATATATCAGAAGAGCCAGTAATGTATCTCTCTTAACCACAGAAAAGAGATCTAGAAGCATAGCATAAACACACAAACCAAGTATTGACAAATGGTAAGAGTCTATTAAATACAACAACTGTACCTCCATTAACAATAGAATGGAACTAGTAATAGCATAGAGTTAACAATCTAAAGATTAATAAAGCTTGTTTTATATAGTAGTAAAATAGCAGGAGTTGGGAATGGGAGTGAAAGTACAATTTTGAAAAATTAAGTGATGGAAGATGAGAAGTAGGAGAGAAAAGTGAGATAAAGGTCCTATTAATGAATAAAAGTAAATTAATAGAATTAAGTAAAAGTAACAGAAAAGAACAAACAAAGAATTAGAAAAAGAAAAGGTTAAATAAAAATAAGACTATAAAGAATAGGAAAAAAGAACCCAAACTCTAGACAACCAATTGGGGAGTGGGAGAAGTGAGTAAAAATTTTTTTTCTGTATTTTTGAATGATTTTTTCCCCCCCAGACTGCCATCTGGGAGTTTGGCTAACATGGTTTCTCAGCCTAGATTCACAGCCTTGTGTTTGTGAGATGGCCTTCCTGCCCCAGAGACCCCTCTGTCTGTGCACTGTTTCAGCTGTCCAAGGTAGTGCATGTCCTTGATTATGGAAGATGGGGAAAGTAGTCGGATCACTGGTTTCTGCTAGATGTAAGCAGTTGGGAGGGGTTTAGCTGACTGCAAGACTTTGCTGGCTTGAAGCACAGGTGGTACATGAATGACTGCCTCATCTGGTAGCTTGAACCACTCTGGTGGTTAGCTATTTAACATATGATAGAATTCAAATCTGAGCTGCCTGGCAGTGAGGTGTACAAATTATGGC